GTATCATCAATTCCAAGTAATAAAATAGGAGTCATGGTCCATTATCACTAAAAGGCTCAAACTATTTGAACAAACTTCCTAGCAGGAAGCAAAAGTGATCCTAATGTTAATTATAATCTAATGATTCATAATGATCCTAAATGCCTTTTTTTCCAGTATATTTGGTGAAGATAGAAATATATTGTTTGATCATCCCCTGCTACATATTTTATGTAAAAGGTTTTGAAAGATAGAAGAAAATTTATATATACTGTATATCACTACTGATTAATTTTAGAATAAGTCAATGCAACCCCTAACTACCACCACACACAATATATTTCAGCTGCTGAGATGGACTGTGGATATCATGATTTAGAGCCAAAAATGTAAAATTACTTTCTATTTCACAAGAAATATTTTTCTCTTTTCTCCTAATAATAGCCACATATTCTTATTCCAACCCCTCCCCTCCCCAGGATGTTTCCTGAAAGTTCAAAGAGACTCCGTAAAAACTTCTGTGGTATAGCTAGATAACAATTCCTTCTTTTATGTCTAAGTGCTTGAATACAAGATAAGAGCTTCAATCTTCTTATTTGAGAAAGTATATCTATAATGTGTATGTGGGTAGCTGTATTTATATATGGATGAAAATAAGGACATATGTACAGTAAGCTTCTATCATCAACTGTAAACACAGATTAAAATAATTGGAAGTAATTGGGTAAGAAGAAGATGGGGGGGACAATTAAAAGGGATATATAGGACATCATAGCTTGAGATCACCTAGTGAGCAACAACAAAGTATCTTGCATAAGCAAATTCCAGTACTGCATCAAACAAAACATCCAAACCCCGTAATAATTCTCCTAGGGGAATTATTCCAATCTCTTGATCATTTTGGTTACTTTTTTTGTATCTTTGTAGAATTACACTGAAGTGCAGTGAATGGATTTGCACACAATATTCCATTTGTGGTTGTACTATACATTTCTGTAAATGTACAGAATGCTAATACACTTATTTTCAGTTTGATAATAAGGACTTCCAACATAGAATTTGCCCTTTTTATAGCAGGCACACACACTGGGTTGACATTTAATTGAGCTATTCACCAGTGCTTCAGATTCTCTCTCTTAGTTGGTCGCCACTAGTTCAGACCCAATTAGTATATGTGAAGTTATTTCCCAAAGGCTGGAAATGTTATGTTAGAATGCTAGGATGCTTCCAACTCCCAGTTCCTCAAAGCAGTTTGAAGGACCATCTTCCATGGTCCATGATCATCTTCAGTACCACTGACCTCTCAGTGCTAAGAACAAGGGACAGAGAATAACTTTCATACCCTGAAGTGCCATCGTTCACAAAAATTTCTTCACTCATTTTGCACAAAAGGAAAATAATGTAAATTGCTTGCCCCTTCCATGCATACTGTACACATACTTCCATGCACCTACTTGCAGTACTTAATGTATTTGTCTTGTATACAAAATAAATCCAGGGGAACTGAAAAAGCCACTTTTCTCTTTGAAAGACCTAATGGACAAGATCTGGAGGGCAGAAGAAAGCAAGAATCCCTGTAAATGAGAAATTGGTCCATCCACAAGCTCCATAGAGCCATACACTTTTTAAACTATATTACTACAATTTTAAATAATCACAGCTGAGCCAGAAATAAATTGCTTTGTTTCTTGGACACAGGCAGAATTGTGGCAAAGCAGAGTTCTAAAGCAGTTTCTAAACTAGCGGAATCCTTTAAATACAGAGGTGGCAAAAGGGGGTAAGGCTTAAAAACATCCAGGATGACACATTCTGGAGGAAGAAAATTCTGGAGAGAAGAAGCTGAGTAATAGACAATCTGGCAGACAACAAAAAGTGCTACAATGGCTAATATGGATTAGATTGCTCTAGTGGCTGTTGAAGATGGACTGTTGATTGGTAAACCTAAAATGGACTGAGCAGTTTACACTAATCAAGATTTATGGGATGTTGGTTGAGACTGGGAGGAGACTCAATTACGCATTTGAGAGCATGACCTGGGGAAGTAGGATCCTGAAGGGTTAGGTGGGATACATGTTTAGATGGCCCTGCATGGAGCTGAAGATAGACTGGGTAAAATAAAATAGGCTTTGCTGCACTATGCTTAGCTAGAGAAAGAGGGGGATTTACCTGTGAAGAATGCAATCTAATTAGCAGTGCTGAAGAACTGGAAAAGTGAAGATGCTTGTCTGCTGTGATAAACCACGGCTGAAATTTAAACTGCTTTCTGTTTCTGTAAACTGAATAAAAAGGAGAAAAATATTGGAACCTGGGGGCATTGATTGTTTCAGTGCTGTCCTGTATATGTATGCCATCACATTTATTCTTTACTTTACTGGAACATGCATTTGTTCAGTTACATATCAGGGAAACTGAAGTCACATATTGCTAATTCCTCCCTGATTTTATTCTTTTTCTCAAGATAGCTAAACATTTTGCTTCCAGGTTTTATTAAATATATTCAGGCAAAAATTGCTTTTGGAGATAGATTTTTATATTAATGGAGATTCAGCAGATGTATCTGACCCTTTGGAAGTCACAGTGTTGTCCTTTGGAAGAGGATCTCTTTGATATACAAAGTGACACAGTTCCTGAAAAGGTGCCCACTCCCTAAAAACCTCTTGCTGGACTCAGTGTTTGCTGATCCAGTTCCCCTTCTCCCGAGTTCTAAGGGACAGGTTTGCTACTTACAGATATATGTTATTGCTTACTATTCCCAATTCTAAAATTATAGAATTCAATTTTTTCAAACAAGCTGATTTTGCTATGTAGTATAGCAGCCTTCCCCAATTTGGTGCGCTCTAGAAGTGTTAGACTATAACGCAATACTGGATGGGAATTATGAAAATTGTAGTCCAATACATCTCAGTCATTAGGTTGGAGAAAGATGTGATATAAGACAATGATGCAGATCTTTCAAATTACCAACTATGCTAATACCAACAAACAATAAGCAATGTGAATTACTGGATTAAGAACTTATAATTAAATATAATTGTTCTTTCTTTCTTGCAGGTTTACAAAGAAGATCTACCTCAACTGAAACAGCAACGTAAAGAGAAAAGCCATTCAGTGCCCTTCCTTAAGAGAGAGAGAGCTCCCGATGACAGTTTAAAGCTGCAATTTATACATGGGTATAATAAATTTTCAACAGTAACTGTTTTTGTCTCTTTGCTTTTATAGACTGTAGTTTACAGACAAAAAAAGATAATCCACTCTTAAACAAAAATAGCTTTTAGATGTAAAGTCTATGCCTGGAGTTAAGAATTGAAACTGGTAAAGTGAGAGACTCTGATTCTCACATCAGAGAAAGCTGTTTAGTAATCAAGGGACAGATGGCAGAGAGCTTCAGGGCTAAAAACAGAGTGACCAAAAATCCATTAACTCTAAAAGGAGGGAGGAAGAGTCCCAGGATTTGAACCTACAGAGTCCTGCATATCAGGCAGGTTTTCTGCATGCTGATATATGCAGAACCTCATTGTGGATATGGCTCTCTAATTCGCTATATAAAGCTACCTATCTAATTTTTTTGTGCCTGCTTGGGAATGCAGGGCTGAGAGAGAGATGTATAGTAGTTATGCTTGGTATAAAACCTTGTTGATTATTATAAACCAAGGAACACTGATTTTGTGTTCTGATTCTCTGCCTTTGGTTATGGCTTTCTTCCTTCCTCCTTCTTACATAACACCAAATCTGCTGTTGACTCTGAAATAAGGGTAAGTATGACTGCAACACAGTGTTAACGCTGTGGAGTTCATCTGTTGTGGTATCAGTCAGCTGCATATTTCCCCCCATTCCCCCTTTTTGTTCACTGTCCAGCAATAGCCACCCGGCATTCTGTATTTCCTTAGCACGTTCATTTTTTACTAGACTGTATTTGAGGTTCTCCCCATCCCTTTAGGTTTGTTTCCTCATTTTAACTAAATGATTATATCCTTTTGGTTATAGTCTTTAAGTATTACAATCCTTCCAAGTTTGCTCATTTCCCATATGAATAAGAATGGTACTAATCCCAGTACAAAGTCATTGTTATTTTGGTCATTGACCACTCTTTCTTTCTTTTATTTTATTTATGGGATTTATTTATCACCTCTATTAACTAGGGTTTTGGGTAATATATAACATCCAAAACTGATAAAGCAGCATAATAAAATATATAACTAATACAATTTAACACAAATTAGCAAGAAACATTATGGTGCTGGTGTTAGACAGTGCTCCCTGGTCTCCTAAATTGGGTGTACAGAATCTACCTAGGAGAGGCAGTCTCTTAGAGCCATATAGACTTTGAAGATAGTGGCCAACACCTTGAATTACACTCAGAAATACACTGGTAACCAATGCAGCTGCCACAACAATGGCATAAGAGGGCTATGCTGAGATTACCTACTAACTCCCTTTTGAACCAGCTGAATTTTCCTAATCATCTTCAAAGGCAGTACATGTAGAGCAAATTACAATAATCGTGTTGCAAGATAAGGATATAACTGACTGTCCTCATTGCATCCTGTTCCAAACAAGGCTATAACTGGTACACTAGCTGGAGCTGGGTAAAGGCCTCCTAGTCACAGCTTCCATCTAGCAGGAGCTGTGAATTCAGAAGAACCTCGGTGATGAGAATCTGTTCTCCCCAAGAGAGCAAAACCCCATCAAGAGTCATAGTTGATATTACTCTGCAATCAATAGGCATCTTAATTAACTGGGTCAGAATTGAGTCTATTTCCCTATTGCTTTCTCAACAACCTTCCAGAAGATGGGAAAGTTGTAGATAGGAAAGTAGGTATCATCAAGATAACTTGCAAGAATGTTTGTTTGGCATCACTGTAGAAGTGAAATGAGTATAGAATATCATGCCAGAGCATGAATTGGTTCAATTAATCAGCATAGAAGATTGATGGATGACACTCTTATTATCCAGTATGGTATTTGGAAGAGCAGTGGCAACTAAAAACTGAAAGTGAACCTGGAAAGGCACCATGTAGAAAGAGAGGAGCTTATCTGCATAACTCCTTAAAGAAAAAGTGACAGAAATCACGTAGGTAGTTCCCAGAAAGCTTGCTGCTTGTCGTATCTAGTTTTCCCAGGTAGTACCCTGAAGGAGAGTTGCACAACCTGAGGCTCCAGATCTTCATGCAGCTCCTGAAGTCTTTGCTTTCGGACTCCAGAAGGCTCCAAAGACATTGAGAAATATCATCCCCACTCATTTCAGCAAAATATGATTCAGTGTAAATGATGACACTTGAATTGTGGTACATGTTCCTTTGCTTCCTCAGCTAATAGGAGCCTTGTTGAATTATCTTTTGGTATCTTTTCATTCATTTCAGTTATAGAGGCTATGATTGTCGAAACAATTTATTCTACACACAGTCTGGGGAAGTGGTTTATCATATTGCTGCTGTTGCTGTGGTGTATAATAGACAACAACACAACCAAAGACTATATCTTGGTCATGATGATGACATTCTCAGCCTTGCCATCCATCCTATGAAAGATTATGTTGCTACTGGACAGGTAAGTATTTAGGAAATACAATCACTGGCAAATCAATGTAAAAATTACAGATTTTCTCACTTATAGTATTCATTCTAGCAACTTTCTTTCAAATTAAAATAATAAATCTGCTTATTTTGGAATAACATAACTCAGTGCTTTATGAATGGGATCTGCAATAAAATTTTACAGAGCATTCTCATCTTCAGTTGCCAAAAGCAGAGGGTGAATAGATGAAGGACAGTCTAGGAAATGGAATGTTTGGCACATATTTAGTATGACATACATTTTGTGGACTATAGTTCAATTAGTTAGATTAATAAAGGGTTTACAAGCATATATTCACTTACCTTGGGATGGGTTGTAAACAAAGATTGGAGGATAATGAATGCAGAAAGTACAGAATGCAGAAATATAAAATGGTATTGACAGTGTGTTTACCAAATGGTGTTCACTGCAGGTGACCTGATTACATCAGGTCCCATTGTGTTATTTTCTGGCTCTGCCCTGTTGTTATCATTTGTAGCCACCAAATTTGCTCTACTCACTGTTCCCCTCTGGAGTGGATACATACCAGAATCCAAGAAATGCCTAATTTAAATTTTCCACTCTACATAATTATGGCATAAACTATGGATTTTAGAGCCTCTGTTGTTCTAAGTATATTTATATTAAAAATATTGTGGACTTGTTAAAATAATATGTGGAGAAACTGAGCATGTGCAAAAAAGGCTTTATAAAATTTTTTAAAGTCAATACATAAAGTCTCTTTTGAATCACACTCAACTGCAAGTGACTTCACGGATATAGCCATGTATTTTTTTTTTTTAAACAAAAATGCAGATGTAATTTGCCATTTCTTCTCAGCCTAGGCTGTAGCCCTGGGATTTTCTGTTGGTTTTCTATCCCAGTACTAACCAGGACTGACTTTGTTTTGTCAGAGATAATATAGCTATCACACATGTTTAAAAAGTTTGTTCAAGTTAGTAATCTGTCAGTTATTTAATACATGTTCTAGTTCTGATTCACATGAAGTCAAAAATGATTTTGAGATTTTTGTGGCAATTAGGCAATTCAACCATGTAATAGGGAAAGTATAGCATCTGTACTTTCAATAAATGAAAAGATAGGAAAATTATGAAATTAAATACAGCAGTGCAATTCAGAGAATCTTAAAATCCATTGCTGGCCGGACACATACTCAATTTTGTTTGGTTAGAGCAAGATGGGCAACAACTGAGAGATCAGATACTGACTTCCATCCTTCAGAAGCGCTGGCGGCATCAAGCACTTTTTATCTGTGTTTTTTAGATAGGATTAAGGTTAGGAATTTAAGCAGCAAACCTCCCACTCTAATTTTTATCCTTAGAACCCTCCCAAATCCTCAAAATAAGATCTGAATTGCCATTTTTCAGACTGATTTTGGGCTCCATTTCAAAGGTGGAGGTCATGGATAGGAATCAAGAAGGTTTACTCTTTGTGGCCTCCTGGTTCTATTCCAACCCTTAAAGCCTTCCTCCCAAAGCAAAATTACAAATGCTGCTTTTCACACCAATTTCAATCTCAAGCTGTTTTCAGGGAGGGCTGGGGAGTTCTCACATTTATTTCTAGAAAAAGAAAAGAAACCATGCAATCAAAATTCCATAGGAAAATGGATGGATTTTGGTACTACAGTGTCAGGGAGCCAGGCTGCTGCAAACAGACTGATGCCATTTGAGCATGTCTAGGGAAGAATATTCTATAGACAATGCAGTCATTCAGAAGACTGCCTCTATTGTCTATACATAACTGTTAATAAAGGAATTCAGAGAAGAGTCACCTTTACAAATCTAGAAGCACAAATGCTAACTAAGAAAGAATTGCTCTTTTAGAGGTTTGGTTCCCAAGCCATTTGGAGTTTTAAAGGTAAATACTGGTACCAAAATACCTTAAATTGGATTTGGGAGCAACTAAACAATATGATAGTTCTTGAAGAATCAGTGTAATGTGATCCCATCAAGTTATACCAGATAAAGTTATGGCGATCATTATCATTAATGATCATTCCTCATTAACAGGAGACCCACCAACTATGTATTTACAGTCCCAGACCAATAAAAACATAAGTACAAAATTTTAAATGTAAACCCCCTCCAAAGCTGAAACAATTAATAATGAAAAGAGGGTATCATCTGGTTTCTGCAAACTATAGCTATTGCTAAAAACTTGGCAACCTTTGTAGTGCTTGCTCAAGTTAGGTCTTGCAGAAGGCAAGCAAGTTCTTGATCAGAGGGACAACTAACATTTCTGGCAATTGGGTTTATGAGCACCAGATGCCATGAGTGGTACAATAAGCAGTGTAATAATGTATGGGTTACTAACTCAACTTCTGTATCTGGGCAAACACATATACAGTTATTGTGCAGGACACTAGTATATTTGCCTATAGTCTCCATAATAAGTAATGCTCCAACTCAAGCCAAGGTAAAAAATCTGTGTGGAATATGTAAGATGTTATAGAGGTAACTAGAAATCGTCCATGGAAAACTTGCAAGTTCAGGGGATCGATTGATGCACTGAGGTAATTCAATTGGGAGGCTACCTGTGGTTCATTGGAACCTGAATACCCCTGCCTAGAGTATAGCTGGCAAATCAAATAACACTTATATAAGGCATTTGTGTTGGATTTGGGAACTCCTTCAAGCGAAGTATCTATTCTTTCATGAGGAATAAAACCCTATCTAGAACATAGTATATAGCTAATTCTTATACATGAGAACTGCTTGCCCATAATCTGCCTGTCAAGATGTAATTAAGAGATCAGAGAAAATTAGAAGGGTCATACTCTGTGCTTCTTGCCTCTGGATAAAATACTCCTAGGGTGAGCAAAGCTATCTCAGTCCTGAGCCCAGACCTGTATTAAGACTGAAGTAGTTTTATACAACTTGCCTTAACCCAAAATATCTGATATTATACCCATGCCACCACTCATGCCACCTTCCTCCAGAGAAGATATTAGTAACTAAGCAGTAATTTTCCAAACTCCTAAGACCAAAAAGAACTCCTTGAGAAGAAATACCATAATTGCTTTCTTCCAAACAGCCAGTATCGCCATTTAAAATAGGCACTATAGTATCTCTTGCCTATACCCATTCACAGCCACAGTCAGTCACAGTCACAGTCAGAGAATGTGCCATCTAGATTTCAGCTGTCATCTTACTTCTTTCATAAACTTTAGCTTGTTGGAAAATCAGATAATTAATTGAGCTTAATTAATTAATTAATTAATTAATGTGGCCCCTATCGGCCTCTTGGATTTTTTAGCTTTTTTATTTTTGTAATGTTTGGTTTTTATAACTTTTTATTGTATTTCCTATTTTACTTTGTTGTAAGCCGCCCAGAGTCCCCCGTTGTGGGGAGATGGACGGGGACAAATCAAATAAATAATAATAAATAATAATAATAATCAGGCTTGACTTCTACAGGCATATTTTGTATCTGATGGAACATAATAGATTGAAGGAATAAAGCAGAGGGATGCAGGGATGACAATTTTTTAAATGGAAAAAAAACATGCAAAACTAATAGTGGATTAGAAAATCAAAGGCCAGTCAGCATTGTGACTGGCAAGCTTCAGTTGGGCCATAAGAAATCAAAGCAAACATCATGTAAGAAACATCAGATTAAAGAAACTAGACCTTTGTTTATGAAAAAAACTATTGGCTGAAAGCACTTACTGTATTGTTTTTTAAACAACTGCTCTTATTTAGGTTGGGAGAGATGCTGCTATTCACATTTGGGATATACAGACGCTCAAATGTTTGTCACTGCTAAAAGGCCAGCACCAGAGGGGAATATGTGCACTTGACTTCTCAGGTAAGCTGCTATGTAATGAATGCTGCTTTAGAATGGAAAATGATGCTGCTCAGTTATCGTGATAACTGAAATAATTTTTGTCTATAAAAGATCATATCCTTCTCTTCTCCTCTTCCAGAATAGCATTCCAGAATATTCAGATTAAAACCTTTTTCTGAAATAGCAATCAGAATCTTATCATTAAGACTTTCTTCAGGTGAATGAAGCTACAGTACCTTCACTTCCCAGATAAATTCTGTCTAGTGACCATGCAGCACGGCTTTTTGTGACCTGTCCAGAGCTTACACTTTTTCATTAAAACTGTGTGTTTTCCTGATCTTCACTCATTATAGGAAGCATACATAGAAGCAGCAATCGGGCAGTAGCTAGTCTTTGCAGTTCTATTGGGTTGGGTTAAGCCTCCAATCACAAAATGTAACAAGACTGGGCCTTCACTTTCCAACATATCAAGCTCACTACCAATGTGGGGTTCCTAACTTCATGTCTGCGAGCGCCATTCCTTGAACCTATTTCTTGCCTAACCTTTGTGTGTGTGTCTGTGTATGTATCAGACTGGTCATGCCTCCTTCACAGCCGTTTTGTGAATGGGCAGAGCTGCTAATGGCAGCCATAATGTTTTCAAACTGGCTCTCAAACTATGAAAAATTTGGGGATCTCTGTCATAGGCAACTGGTAAGTCCTTTTCTAAAATAATTATAATGAGGAGAAGAAGGTGGGAGTAAGTGTAAATTAATTCATTGCAAAACCATGGTTATTATAGAACATCCAACTTGCTTATTCTTGGCACCATAACATAGAAGTTTGCTATGAATATTGCATTTGTCACATTTCATTTCAAGATATCTCATGATGAACTATGAATTGGTTTTGTACAGCTGATGGGAAATGCTTGGCTTCAGTTGGGTTAGATGAGAATCATACCATTGTACTGTGGGACTGGAAAAAAGGAGAAAAGATGGCAGTGACCAGGTAAGAATACTACCATGCTGCATCCTTAGTTCTACAGGGTATATTTTATATAATGCGAGTATTTTAATGATGCTGTTCGGGAGTTTTTTAAAAATCACCATCATATTGTTGACCAATACAGAAAGAGAGATTATGATCACATCAATTACCCCACACTCTTGTATGAGACCGCCATTCATGTGGAGTATCAGGAATCATCAATTTATGGCCCTAGTCATACTGTCAGATACCTAAGCTGAACATGAAGTTACAGGAAACAGCATCATGCACTCAATTTCTGCCTCCAGATCTCCGCCCATACTTTGAGGATGAGAACAGAACTTATTTTTGCAATGTATTATTGCAAAATAGTACACTTAGATTACTGCTTAGATTATCTTTAATTCCACTGTACACACTTGGAAATGAATGTGCAATTGGAGCCTTGAAGCAATGGATTAAAGATAATATACCCTACTAGACATGACATCTTTTTCCAAGGATATATTCCAGACTGGTTTCTTTACCCTCTTTACACCTACCAGATATTTCAGCCAAATTACAGTCCTAAAAGATAGGAAGGCAGTTTCTCTGGCACAATTTAGTGCTCTTCTTACAGTGGTCTTAGAAGGGCAATATGAGGGCATTCCATTTGGGTTAAAGTTTTGCCCATGTGGCAGAGGGGCTATTAAAACCATAAGTCATACAATGTTATTGTATTGTCTGCTTCATGCTGATGCACATTTAGATAATCCTACACTTAAACAAATTCCCTGGTCATCCCAACTGGTTCTATTTATAGTCTTCACTTTCAGATACATGTGATTCTGTTAGTTTAAGTGTAGCCAAATTTTGCTGTGTTACATGTTCCTGCAGATGTGTGCAATCTATTTCTGGTAACATTATATTATGTACTGGTCATTCACCACAATAAAGATTATATCCTTATTCTATTCTTCTTATTCTGTTCTAATTATGTATAGGAAAGTGTCTTTCATCTGAGATAGCTTAAATATTTAATAGCTTCTTGTTGGTTGCCTGATGGATTAAGTAATACTCATTTAGCTCTCTTAATTAACATGACCTGTGTCACTTTTCAGATATTATGTCTTGAACTTATTGAAATAGAGCTGGATATCTGTCCCTTATGAGTTATTTATCAGTGGATTTCTGCTGTTGGTATGCTATATAAAATTAGATCCCATAACCTTTTACTTATTGGGGAAAGTCTCTATTCCTCTAATGTTTAGATGCATCCAGTCTATCAGCCAAGCAGGGGCATTCCAAGTTCTGGCTGTGATAGCTTCCCATCCCCCCCAAAAACTGGATAACAATTGTGTCCAACCAGTATATTAAAAAATCAATCAATCAATCAAATCACAAGAGGACATATAAACCATACGAAGCTGTGTATGATAAAATCAATCCATCTTAATATAATCAAAAGTATACTCAATACTTTCTTATAAAAAGATTTAATCCAGTTTATGTAGTGAGTTATGTAATTAGGCCTTCTCCCAAATAAGCAATAAATTATACAAAAAAATTTAGAAGAATCAGTCTCTGATTAGTTTCTTAATTCCTGTTCAACATGTGAGTTAAGATTTGGTTAAAATTAATTGGATGTGAGGACGTGAATTTGCAACTGAGCAGCCCTTCATGGTACCACACCTCTGTTAATACATCAGTATGTAAACATGTACTTTCCCATGGACTAATTTATATCATTTGGATAAAATTAACAAGACTGGATAAATTAATTAAGGAATGATAGCTTCAAAGATTTACTACATGATTAAAGTAAAACTGATTCTTTTGTATGAGAATCTCGTTGCATAAACTGGATTCAATAAGGATTAATATGTCATTTATTATATTAAGATCTTATTAAGAGGAATCTCTGTTAATTCTGTAGTCTGTGGAAAGTTCCAATGGTGCTAGAACCATTGGAATTTTTTAAACTCTACAATTAGTCAAAATAGCTTTTAATGTAGAGTTTTAAAATCCTTCTGTATCAAAATCAGCAATACTATACATGTGAATATTTTATCAACTAAAATACATGCTACATGTCTCTTCTATTTTGTTCAGCAATAGTGCTGTAAGAGATGGTACACCACTGTTAAAGGTGCCACATGCTCTTTAAAAAAGGGGGTGTTAGTGTCACAAGTATTTTAATCCTGGCTTGTAAATCATTAAAGTCCCACTTCCTTGTTTTATCTTTCTCGTTGTAGAAGTTATAATTAATCCAAAACAACTTTTTAAAAATGTTAATATTATAGGATTCTAATGTCTCCAATAGTACAAAAAAGCTATTTATTTATTCTTTACTTTTTAATGTATTTCAGGGGTCACAAAGATAAGCTCTTTGTAGTGAAGTGCAACCCTCATCATGCTGATAAACTGGTGACTGTTGGAATAAAGCACATCAAATTTTGGCAACAAGCAGGTAATAGATTATATCAACAGTTTAACTTATTTCTTCACCAAAAAGTTGATTCAGATAGTTCAGTTTCCCGGCACAGACACAGCAAAATTTTCCTATGAGTATTCTGCTTTGTTATGACTCTTGCTAAGGACACATGTATTTAACATACAGCTAAATCTCTTTTCAGTGGTCAGGGATTGAGTCTCTCAGGAGCAAAAAATGGGAGAAACGAAGAAATTAGTGTGATATGAAGAGAATCTTTTTAGTAGCCCTTGGTTTTATTCCTATTAGAGGACTGGATCCTGGCAATCCAGTAGTAAAGTTGGCTCTGCAGTTAGCACTGAGTGAAACCTGTGGCTCAAGGACCCTAGACATCTGCCCTGTCCTATTTTAGATTGCTCCCAGAAATGTCTTGAAATCATGCCTTCAGAATTTGACAGCCAACTGCTCATTTCCTACGGTGCAGCTCTTAGTGTTCTTCCCTCCAAAAAATAAGAGTACTGTAATAAAGTTTATGCTGAATTAATTTGTTTTGTCTTTGGAAAAAACCAGACATCCCCAAACTATAAATCATCTGAAAATGTCAGCACAACTTCATTTTAGGGATGTGACCATATTATTGCTATATCTTTTGTAGCCCAGAGACCAAAAACAATCCAAAAAAATAATAATAATGCCCCCCCACATCAAAAGGTTGCCCAATATGTAGTGGATGGTATAATCACACCTGACTATTCCTTCATATTCTATCTACCAACATGTAATATTGTTATTATATATTGTATTACAATATATATATTAATATATAATATTATATTATATATATGTATTACAATATATATTATATAATTGATAACTGAAACTTTTACAGCAATTTATAATAATGCTTATTGCTCTATTGTGACAATTCAGGTGGTGGTTTTACCTCAAAACGTGGCATGTTTGGAAATATTGGGAAACAGGAAACCATGATGAGTATTTCCTATGGACGGATAGAGGATCTCGTTTTCTCTGGATCTGCAACTGGAGATATGTACATCTGGAAAGATGTTTTGTTGGTTAAAACAGTGAAAGCTCACGATGGCCCTATATTTGCTATGCATGCTTTAGATAAGGTAAAAATTATCTTGTCTTGCAATATCTCAGAACCATATTAATACATATCCCATTTCACGTTTCATCATACATGTATTAGGGCTGTGCAGTGTTCTAATTCAAAGGCAAAAAAATGCTTCAGAGTACTTTGGGGCATTCATTTCGCATCTGACTGCAACTCTGTAAAGCAGCTGCATCTTCTCCTGGGATTGTGTAGCTACTACCAGCCACTGCAGTGTTAGCTCAGGAAACAAAATGTTTGATTTAAGGGGCTGCAACCAGATACTATATGCACTCTAGAACACCTTTTTGCCTACAAAACTGAAGTACCGTACAGCATATGCATACATCGTATGGGTAAACTTTGGCTTCAAATGTCCCAAAATAGTATTTGAAGCAGAGAAGTAAATTTCTCATGCTTCTTTCCAGTAAGACAATTTGAGGATAGGTAAGATATTTGCTTTTTCATTTGGAACTTAATAAACACTTCTCTGAACATGAAAGTAGCAATCTTAATTAATGTAACCAATAGCCACAGTCTATTACCTATGATTTTTTTTTGTAATCATTCTTTTGATGTTTGATGTTCAGTTTGAGTACCATAGCCAAAAGAGTATCATTCATAGATAAGAGGGAAGTATCAGCAAGCTTGGGGAAACAACAGGATTTGCAAAAGTGTATGAATGAATGTATTTTGTTTTGTAATTCAGTGACTTACACTTTTATCACCTAACTTTATATTGTCAATATATTAAGCAGATTTATAAATCTGTTTCTGCACAGGGCTTTGTGACAGGTGGGAAGGATGGCGTGGTGGCACTTTGGGATGATACATTTGAGAGGTGCTTGAAGACATATGCCATCAAAAGAGCAGCACTGTCACCTGGATCTAAAGGTATAACTACTCTAAGTTAGAATAGGCAGGGATAGAGACTGCTTATAATAAAACATATGTAGAAACATTACAAAATCCTAGTAAATCTGTTATAACCTCTTCCAAGGCCACCAGTTCTGCACTGTGCTGTAGAGTGAATCTGGAGGTTATTGGCAGATGGCTGATTTGCTTTGGTTTGGGAGTGATTATCAATCATTTATGCTACAGCCAGCACCAACACGCATATAATTATGGAAGAAGGTATGAAGTTCGTGGGAATTATGCTATAGCTTTTTGGAATAAATAGTGCCATGAAAATAAGGAGTGAGAGGTAATGAGGAATCAAAGGCAGGAGGTAAGAGAAAAGAAAAAGAATTCTAACTAAATCTAATTTATAGCAACATCATTTATTTTACCTTTCCATACCTTTCTATTCTTGCAAACTATATCTGCATCCATACGCTATGTTCTTTTCTTTACACTGACTCATTCTGAGAATCTCATCAGCTTCTTTCAACAACTTTCTTGGCCTCCTTCTTCCTCTTGACCCATTCACTCTTCCTTCATATTTTTGTTTTGCAATTCAGTCCTCATTCATTCTCACTATAAAATCAAACTACCTGAACATACTTCTTTTTGCACTAGTCATTCATTTTTTGTTCAATCAGTATTCATTCATTCTTGAAACAATCTCTTCTTGTTTGCTGGGACAGTGTTTGGCAGAATTCTGATTGGAAAGATAAAAGAGGTTATAAGGACCAAAATTTGAGAAATGCAATTCAGCTTTAGCTAAGCAGGGAGTGTGCAGACCAGTTTTTTGTTCCTCAGTTGGCTGATAAGAAATATATGAATTTGAGAAAGTTTATTGTGTGTTTATTGATTTAGAGAATGCACAAGATAGTGAATATGGTTGAATTGTGGAACATTTTGTGTGAGTATATGGTATGAGTGATAGATAATGGAACTAAAGCATGTGTGAGAATCAATGCAATGATTAGCAAATAGATCAAAACTGAGTAGGGTTATGTGATGTTTAATGTAATTACAGATAAATGCATAAGGAATGCTCGTAGTGACATTAGAGGTGTGTTAGTTACAGATATCAGTATGTAGGTACTTCTGTATGCATTGATGCCATATTGTTAGATGAGAACCTAAATAGTTCTCATGATTTGCAAAGAATGTTAGATTGACGATGTAACGAGGAGTATAATTCTGAAAATTAAAGTATCAAAGATAAGAGTTGTTTTGTTTGACAAGGAAAATGGAATAAACAATTGCAAGTTACATCCACTAGGTGAATTAATATACCTTGGTAGAATGCTTATTAAAATGGGAAAATGGTTGAGGAAATTTAAGGCATACAAACACTGGTAGAAAGATAGGGTAATGGGTAGAATGTGATTTTATGTGAGGAATGAATGTTAAAAGGAGTAAAAATGCTGCGTATAAGATCATGCTTATGTCCAGTTTGTTACATAAAGTTTCAGTTGGGTATGTCAGAAAAACATGAAGTAAGTTGAACAGAGTAAGAATGAGCTATTTAAGAAGCGTGGCTGGAAAAACAAGAAGAGATAGGGTGAAGAATGAATGAGTGCAGAACGTGGATTTAATACAAAAGTAAGTTAGCAGGACAAAATACGTATGCTGAGGTGGTTTGGTGATATAGAAAGAATGAATGTGAATCTGATCACAAAGCAATTTTTATTTTTATCTTTTTTATTATTGTTACTTATTTTATGTAACAATTGTACAAACAATAACATTTCACAAATTTGAATCAGTACATTTTTAACGTTTTACAAAGCAAAAAATTTTACAAAGCAATAATAATAATAATACTATATACTGTATAGTTTCTCAAAAACTGTCATAATGTGATGTAGGTAGTTAATTAAACTTTTCATTATTAAAATACTTTATAAAATCATACCATACAGAATAATTTTCTCATTTATTTTCTTCAATTGGTTTCAATTTATATGTTAATTTTTCCATTAAGGCAATAGATCATACTTTGTCATACCAGTTTTTCTAAATGTTTCTATTATTTTGCAGTTGCTAATCTAGCAGCCATTAATAACAATATTAATTGGGCCTTACTTTTCCGATTTATATTTTTACCAGAAAATAGTGGCAAAAGATTTTGTACTCCCAATTTCTGATTACACTAATCGTTTTTAAATTTTTGAAGAATATCCTTTGGTACCATTTATATTTCAAATTCTGTAAGTAATCTATTGGTTTGAATAAAAATATCCCAATTTTTCATCTGCAGCCATTATAACCAGTTTAATTCAGTTCACTGATTTCTCTTTAATCTCAATTTTAGATGAAACAGAATTTATATAAAAATATTTTGTATAATATAGCCTTTTCTCTTTTCAGCCAACATATAGTTTCTTTCTGTTGCTATTACAAATAAAGGATGTACTAGTATAAGAGGGAGAGGAGATATATTTATGATTAAAACATCCTTATGTGTCTTCCAAGTTTGGAAAACGCAACAGTGGCCACGGGATTGGAAAAGGTCAGTTTACGTTCCAATTCCAAAGAAGGGCAA